GAGCATTGGTGCGTAAAGCCAAAGGTCCCGGGTTCGATTCCCGGCGGGGGTGACAACAGCAACAAAAATATTTTCCTCATTAATTTGAGGAAATTTGTAGTAGGTCAAAATCGAAAAGTGATTTCAAGTTGATGTTGCACATTAACGTTGACCACTATTAGTAATTTAAAACAATGTCTTCAAACCCGTTATGGTATGCCAGTGTTATTCTTTCGAATATGCGAAAAACAGACCGGTAACATAACTACATTCTCTTTAGTAAAACTGATTCAATTAGTAAGTATTCCATATGTTCACCCTTGTTATTATACACAGAAACAATCGTAATTTAAATTCCCCCCTGTCATCGTCAATTCAATAAATCGTCGTCATGTGTGTTTAAACTTCATCGGCAATCACAGATCAGTAGGTTTGGCTTTTACAAATGGAATAGACCAACGCAGGTGAGGGTATTGAGGGCAATTATAAATTCGTCGTTGACCAGGTGCAAGGAGAGTGGCGCAGGGCTATTAAGCGGACGACGTCTTCCGGCGTCGCGCAGCGTCGCACACGTCATCCGCTGCACGTGATTGGAATTGTCTTTAATTGCAGCCGTCGTTATGCATGGTATAACAACATCCTCTTATGATGGCAGTTAATTCAATTGGAAATATAGTGAATATGCACTGTACGCGAGGACTCGATACAAAGCAAAAACCGTTGCACGTGATTATTAAGGTAAATGACGTCATACCACGTCAGGGTTAACAAAATCTGCTGAAGTACACGGATTATGCCGAACTACTTTGTGGTACTTTTATTGAAAGAAATTATTTCCAATATTCACACCACCATATTTAAAGTTAAAACCTCATGAAGGACTAAACACAAGAATAACAACAACAAATATGAACGTAGCGACAAGAACTATGCAGTTTTGTTAGTAAAATTTCCAATCAATTAAGTAGTATGAAAAATAACATCAATAAAAGTCATCATCGACGTGACAATGAAACAAGGAATATTTCGTTATAAATTAGGTTTATCAATTGATTAGTTGATTACCTTACTGATAAAAAAATCTACAACCTGCTAATACCTTAGTGTAATGCAATTTTATTTAAACTAGTTTTTATGTTTAAGATTAAAACTATAAATTCAGCATAATTAAATTTTCTGCCAAAAATGTCAAGAAAGACAACTGCAAAGTTATTTAAAGTATTCGCGGCTATTACTCAAGCCGTAGAGATAATCTGTACGAATGTAGGAACAACTTGTAGTGCTTGACTAATCGTGGCAATAATTTCGACATCAAAAGAATTAATTTACAAATAGATTACAATCCACTTTCAACATATTGGCGCATGGTCATGTCAGGATTAGTGTCAATTAGAAAAGCCTTTATTTCACAAAATTAACGTCTCTACAATTAAATGCAAAATAGGTACACACTATACACTACACCGATAAATGTGATTATTAACATTTGGCGACCATAACTTTACAAGTACGGCATCTCGTTTTTATCACCGGCTGACAGGTGTCGACAAGGAGTAGAAGTTAAACATTTATTTCACACTACCTTATCTAGTTTTATTAGTGGAATTATTGCCCTTTACATCAACAGTAATTTTTCCTCAATATTACGTGCACACCAACATCAGCTTGCAACTAGAATTGGTGGCGCCCCTAAAACAACGGTGTAGCAGTGACGTCATGCGCAGCACGGCACAAAATTTGTACTGCAATCGGCCGTATCTTTTCTGTCATAGTATAATAAGGCATAACTTTTCCAAAAAGGTCGCGTAACTAGACCTAACAAAAATTTATTAATAAACATTATATATTTGAATGAATTATTGTCAGTTTTAGATATAAGTCAGTTGGAATTATTTCCCTTTACATCAACAGTAATTTTTCCTCAATATTACTTGCATATCAACGTTAACTGCTGATGTGTAAGAGCTAAGGACAATTCTTGCAACTAGAATTGGTGGCGCCCCTAAAACAACAGTGCAGCAGTGACGTCATGCGCAGCACGGCACAAAATTTGTACTGCAATCGAGCGTATCTTTTCTGTCATAGTATATAATAAGGCATAACTTTTCCAAAAAGGTCGCGTAACTAGACCTAATAAAAATTTATTAATGAACATTATGTATTTGAATGAATTATTGTCAGTTTTAGATATAAATCGGTTCCTACATAAATCACATTTTTCTTTTTAATAAAACGAAAGGTGTTTCTTAAAGAATAAGGGATTAATTACGATCAACCGTGGACATTATAAGTGCTCACGCCCTTTCTTTATTAGCCAAGTTACACACTCCATTACAGTAATTATGAATAAAAGAGCTGTTGCAGTAGAGTGCCGCTTAATAAAGGTAAATAGAAGCGCAGTCACACATTAATTTATGTCTTCCTTGTTGAACTGTTATTTACATAATATCTTAGGAATTTACTGCGTTGTCTATCGTTAATGTCGAACTATTCGTATTAATAAATTTAAACTTGGTGTGATTGACGGTAAGAATGTTACAGCATTTTTTTTTTGTATGGACTATTATTTAATTGCAGTTATGCCTATGACACGCCACTTTGACGGATAACCGATAATTTTGCAATGGCAATAATAATGACCGTGTAGGTATTCAATAAATTGTTTCATTGGTTGTATGTTTTTAACGTTATTATTATTACCTGTACCCGGTACTGTCCTACAATAAAAGCTTCGTTCTTTAATTCTGTAATAACATTCTTATGCTGGCAACACCTTTTTGTTTTTACTTAGAGTTAAAGGCGACTATTAATTACATTGTTAAAAATTAATAATCAACATTGCCAGACCCTATTGGTGGTAATTTCTGTCAGACACTTCAAAGTTCGTAAAAGAAGTAGAAAGAGGAGACTGTAGTAAGTAATAATTAATTAAAAAATTAAAAAGAAGACTCACTCGCGTTGATAATGTCCACGTATGAAGTGGGCGAAACACGTGTCCGCTCAAAAAGTTTTTGTGGTAATTAGGGGTGTCTTCTTTTCAATTTTTTAATTAATTCGTAAAAAAACATCGTCATTTTACTNGGGAAATTTTCTTTCAAGTTACCGCACTTACGCGTCGCGATTGTTTCTTCAGGAACAATTAGGATCCACTTTTGGTTTTCTAATTAAAAAGAAGACTCACTCGCGTTGATAATGTCCACGTATGAAGTGGGCGAAACACGTGTCCGCTCAAAAAGTTTTTGTGGTAATTAGGGGTGTCTTCTTTTCAATTTTTTAATTAATTCGTAAAAAAACATCGTCATTTTACTTAAAGTCTGAGTCTTCATTTTGAAATATGATACTTGGGGAATTATTTCAACACTTCTTCCAAGCAGCCAAACCAACTGTAGGGGTCAAACATCCCCCCAAAACAATTAATATGTCGCTGTGAGTATAAGCGCAATTGGATGGCTTTATAGCATAGCGACATTTTAATTACGAAGGAGATGTTTCAATACAAAAAGTATTGAAATAGTTCCCTAAGTATCATTTCAAAATTACGATTTTTTTTGCGAACTGTAAAGCATCTGGCAGAAATTAATGCCGATGGGAAGTGTCTGGCAGTGTTGATTATTAATTTTGATTGAAAAATAGTGAAACATTACGTAGACATCAATCCCACCTATTTTATTACTCAGACTTTAACAGACCATGGCAATAATGAAAAAAAGAAGCAAATTTGGATGATAACTTTTCTGATGTTAATATTAAGCAAAATACCTACCTTTCTTTATATTTTAAAACAGGGTTCGTGACTTAAACTCGATGAACCGTAACAATTTCTTATTTTATCTACGACGGATCACGCGGAAATTCATTTATTTGTCCATCAAACGCTTTTAGTCGTGTCCAACTAAAAAGTATCCCGGGGTTTTACTTTTACTTTCCCTCCGTGGGTCATATTTTTCTTTGCCATTCAATTCATCTCTACTTACTTACATCAAAAGACGTCCTTTGAATTTTATCTCATCTTCATCAAAACAATTACCTATTTTCCTTTATATACCTTTCTTAGCAACACCATTTAAATATTTTCAACATATATATCTACCTCTATTATTCTCAACAAATTGCTTAAAATTAAAACATTGGAAAGAAAAAATAAGACTAACGTGTTTCTTAAGGGAAAACTATTTTCATTAAATTTTATTTGTACTCTTACAGAACTAAAAAACTAAAAAAAAACTTTTGGGTGTTTCATTCCCACCAGCCAGTAATGCTGGGTGGGTGGTGGTTCGGGCGATAAAGATGAGACGGACGAAATGAAGACAAGAGAATGAAAGATTATCTGTGGAATATTACTGCCTCAGCATTTGCCTAAGTGATCCAAGGAAACAACAGAAAAACTTGGACTAAGGCAAACGGACCCGGAATCGAACCAGCATCCTCCCGAATGCTAAGCAATGGTCTAAACCTCTAGGCCATGCCGCTCGGAACAAAATGAGCAGAATGAACAGAGCAAAATAAGCAGCTCTTTGAAATAAAACTTCTTATTAACGGCGCATGTCTTTGCGTCACGAAAAAGACCATCCGATTGGAATGTGCTCCCTTTTTCTATAAATTGCAGTGGTGGAGAACGTTGTGACCTACGCGACTTTCTTGTCCTGTCTTCATGCTAGTCCTTATATTGATAATAATTAATGGAAGAAGTCAGGACAATTTGAAAATTAATACAATTAAGTAGGTAAATAATATGCTCCCACCTGTTCAGCATAACAGGAATGAAATGTTCCCTCTAATTTTTCCACGAAAAGATCTCACCACTGAATAAATTTGGTTTCGAAATAATCCCGAGACCAACTATCGGGATTAGAAAGCCTAATTTTTGTATATCGAATAAAAAGCAATTTAGGTAGGTTCAGCCATTTCCACAATTAGCTTGATCAGTTACTCTATCACTACAGAAGGTATATAGTTAGTACGTATTTATTCAAAAGAAGTTTTAGTACTGTCTCTCTCTTTATCAGTAGTTTATTTCTTACCTGTTTCGGTATTAGTTAGATCGTCCGTATTATTGTCACCAAACAGATCCTGCAGATATAAGGGCTCCTTCGGCCCCAACGTCAACTCTGTCCCAGGTGGAATATTTTCCGATGTTTCGTACCATAACTACAAATAAAAAGAAATTTCTTCAAGCCTATCACTGAGTATATGTTTTAAACAGACAAAATAGAATTATTGATCTGTAGATTAGGACATACTGAACGTAATTACATTAAAAATACAAGTCTGATGATATTATTAACTGTTGAAGCAATTGTATGGTTAGATTCTATCACATATATTCAACTTTAGCGCCATAAAAATGACTTAAATAGGTACATGCGCAATAAATGACGCGAGACGTACACTCAGTTGAGTCTGGCCCAGCGGCTCCGACGCGAGGAGACGGCAGAATTCATTTGGTCCTCATGAAATTGAAATTAAAAAATTAACTAATTCTCTCGAAATACATAGATCAGGAAAACTAGAGGTAGGAACAATAACTTAACCCGAAGCAAATGAGTTTAAAACGCATTACCACTAATCATCATCATAAGATCGTCAGTCCTAATACTGGTTGGACACGCACCTCCACTCTCTTTGCTATCCTGCGCTAATTTTCGCATTTTTCTAAAACTAGAACATCCCACATCCTTAACTATTTGCGAACAGTAATCTCATCCTGACTCCCGTTTTTGCCTCTAATATGTCTCTAACTAGACCTCCATGCCTGAAATGGTTTTATTTATTTTCATACAATACTGTTTTGTCAATACCGCTTCCACTTTATTTAAAGCTATCTCGTAACTCCTCCTTACTAGATGCTAATACTGCTATGAAATCTGCAAATCTAAGCATACTAATCTTTTGCCTCCTTGTATCTATCCCTACAGTTGTAAGTCTTTAACGATGTTGATCACGTCTTCGATGTATAGATTAAAAAGTAGCGGTAACAGTGTGCATCCCTGTCTGACTCCCTTCCTTATATTTACTTCTCTACGTTGCAGCCCCAGCTCTATAACTGCCTGTTGCTCTTTATACAAACTATGTATCACTCTTCTATCTCTGTAATTCATCCCTACATTTTTAAGTATATTTAACATCTTGTCCCATTCAACATTGTCAAAAGCTTTTTCTAAATCTACAAATCCTATGTGCGCTCTCTTTTCTTTTTCCATCGTTTTTTCTATTGTTACCCGTAAAGCTAGAATGACCTCCGCGTTCCTCTATTTCTTCTAAACCCAAATTGATCTTCCTGTAATAGTTCTTCCACCAAACGCAACATAAAATTGTTGTTTCTGTTTCTGCTCCTACCTCTTCCCGGTGGCTCCAAGTAACATTAATATAAGATTATTGTATCGTAATGAAAAAAAAATATATTTAGATACTAATAATAAGAGATATATTCAAAAACAGACATAAATATCGCAAACATAGGGTCAACTTTGCAGCATTGCCCACAAAGATGTCAGCCGATACGGATATATTTGTCTGAGGGGATCATCCTTGCGTTGGCATTACTGTTTCCCTGTAATGACGTCAATTGTTTTACTACAAATAGTTTGTAGTCATTAAAAAATAACATTTTTTTCTATTATTTGTTAGTGTATTGTTTATTGTTAGTTAGGAACGAGCATTTTGTGCAATAGAACAACCATTATTTCAGATCCAGTAACAATAAATATATTTGTGGTGTGTGTGTGTGTGTCCTATCGCAGTATCCTTTTGTTAGTTTCCAATAACCAAATACGTCAAGTTGTTAATAAACGGGCCGTAGAACAACTGTATAACATTTCCTGACGTATTTTTACGATGATCGGCTTCTGAAACGTGTGTAGATTGAGGCTGCGATATGATCCGCTGATTGTTGCTTATTTCAAAAGATGTAAAGAACGCAACGTTTTGTTTTGTTCTAAATTCCAGTGATGCAAACAGCCATACAAGTCAAACCGATAATACACATACCTATCTAATAACTTTCTATAAATTTGCCCTGTCATTTGACAGCCGGCACGGCTGCGTGTACCTACACCTTAGCACAACGGCTACTGCGCTACCTGGGACATGTTAACAATGGATTTTTGTTCGATCCATGTGCCGCATGATGTCTACTTACATAAACTGCTCAACCTATATGACAACACTTGCGAAATGATACAATACAAACATATTATATAGGTTGTGTATTTCTAATTGTAACTTGAGATAACACCGTTTAAAAAAAATAAGTAGGTTAATTAAAGTCGGCTTCTTGTATGTCAAGCCTCCCACCTTGGAAAGGTTACCCCCTTAATTGAATTATTAACGAACGGGGTCACAAAAATGGAAAGGAAACTTTTGTGCGTTCTTTTTTTTAATAGAGAATCAAGTGAGACCTTAAGGAATTGACGGCTAATGAAACATTCACGTTTTATATCTACCGATTAACTTTTTAATTCACTTTCGTGCCTACTGCAGGAGAGTATATCATCATCCTAAGGTCCTCAGTCCTGAGACTGATTGGACACCCACTACTCTTTCCTATCCTGAGCTAATCTTCGCATTTCCCTAAAACAGCAATCTAATCTAGATCTACCTCTACGCCTCCTAACTCCCGCTTCCGCCTCTAATATGTCTCTGACTAGACCTTCATGCCTGAGAAGGTGTCCTACCAATCTATCCAGCCTATTTCTTATTGACTTCCATAGAGTCCTCTGTTCTCCTATTCCTTCTAATACCTCTTCATTTCTAACCTTCTCTATCCACGGTATCCTCATCATTCGCCTGTCACACCACATTTCGAACGCTTTTAACCTTTTCTTTTCCACCGCGCCCACTTTCCATGTTCCGCTTCGTACAACACCACGCTCCAAGCACATCTTTAACAACCCTTTTCAAATTCCTAATTTAACCGTTCGCGATCATAGAAGTGACATCTTTTTATTGAAAGCGACTCGACCCTGCGCTATCCTCTGCTTTATTTCCCTACTACTCCTTCCGTCCTGACTTATCTGACTTCCTAGATACCTAAAATCGGCTACTTCTTCTAATTATTCGTCTCCTATCTTTATATTCGCTCTTTCTCTACTTTTTCTACCCTTGTATACCAGTATTTTAGTTTTACTTTTATTTGTTTTCATACAGTACTGTTTTGTCAATACCGCTTCCACTTTATTTAAAGCTATCTCTAACTCCTCCTTGCTAGATGCTAATACTGATATATATCATCTGCAAATCTAAGAATACTAATCTATTGCCCTTGTGTATATCTATCCCTACAGTTGTACTGTCTTTAATAGTGTTGATTGCGTCTTTGGAATATACATTAAAAAGAGTTTTAATTCTCAAACAGATTCATGAAAACTGTAATTTTTGTAATTAACTTTCTAAAGGAAATAGCCGGAAAATTTAAAGAAATAGATTCATTACATTTATGTGTTTATATCTTGTTTGATTTTCATCTTGCAGTTTAATAGTCTTCAGGTGCATAATTTTCTTCTATTTTATCGCAAATAAGATGCTGATTTGTCTAAAATTTCTTACATCTCCTGCTATTTTAATTAACACTGAACTAACTGCAAACAATCACGTGTTTGTTAATGAAACGTGCACGCCATAATAGTAGCTTCCTTTGCCGATCTCAATTTCCGCATGTTTCTACAACCTAACCAACTGGGTTAATTCCAATGAATATCCTCCGTGGCCTGGGGGGCGCTGTTGTCTGATATTATAAACGAACACGCATGCCGATGTCTTATGGTAGCAATCCCAACGGATATTAGATCTCTGCTGGAACACAATTAGCGACCCAACTTGCTGCTGCATGTACCTTTTTATTAAACACATGCATGCAGGTTTCGTCACTTCCTCTTTTTGCATAATTTTTTATGCAACAGCTTCCAACACAGCACGAGACCGCGGCCGGTGCATAATAAGGGAAAGTGTAACTGGGTCGAGTGACCTTTATTAAAGACCAGACGGAAAAGGTGATGGAGATGATTTTTATATTGATACAAAACAAAATGCACTCAGTGCATAAAAACATTGTAATATTTCAAGCTATGGGCCCTCACATTTATTTTTGTGAGAACCGAAACTGAATGTCATCAACTTGTAAGGAATGTCTGAACGCTATGTGAACCCTTTGATCAATTAAAGGGTAGGCTTGTAGTAGTAACTGTCTGGTAATAAAATTCTTATCATATTTTAAAATTAATTTTTAGTCTTTAAAAAGAAAAAAAGTAAAGACCATGAACAGTAGAAATTATTTGGCAATGTTGAAGGTTAAATGTGAGAAACTTTAGAAGAAACAAATGAAGTCTCAAGGCAGCAGTTTAGGATAGATTTAAGTACTAACTTCAATTGAAATTTCGGTAGGCTTTGATAAGATAAATCTCTCGTATATTTTGACATTTAATCAGTATTACTGTAAATGCTGTTTTTATGAAATATTACCCACTACACGCTACCTCAAATTCATGAGGGAAAAATTGTTGCTGTTGTCGAACACCCGCCGGGAATCGAACCCGCGACCTTTGGGTTTACGCACCAATGTTCAGACCATAATATATTCATTATATCGGGTTGTTCGGAAAGTCATTTCGTTTTTCCCGACAGAGGATTTAATTGTATTCTTTTGCACCCAACTTCACATTTAAGCCGTATAATTTTTATATGCTTTGAGAGCTCATATAGCAAGCCTTGTGTGTGTGAAAAATTCCAATTAATTCTACGCAGTAGTTTTTGGTTGGTGCCCTTTTAAATATGGAGACCGATAAGCAGCATTTTCGACATATCTTATTGTTTTACTACAGAAAGGGTAAAAATGCTGTTCAAGCCAGAAAGAAATTGACTGATGTGTATGGAGAAGGTGTGTTGACAGTACG